ACCCTGGGATCATGACCTGAGCCGAAGGCAGACGCCTAACGACTGAGCCACCCAGGCGCCCCAAGAGGTCTACAATTCTATAGGTAACTCAGGATCGTAGGTTTTTAATCACTGTAAAAGCATCTTATTTTATCGTGAGAAAACCTATTATTAGCCTCTGGAAGGTGTTTAGTAAATAGCGGTTTAATAAGGATGAGGTGGGGGTAATCCTGATTGCTAAATACATCAGTCTTTCTCCTAATTTCCATCACTGGAGATTTAATATAATTACTGCATACTGACTGCCCCTCTAGCCTTTTCATGGAGATACAGAGAATACCCTCAGAAGTTCAGTTTTGCAGAATCATGATTTATCCTGGCAACTGCCACAGACCGCAATGAGAAATGCTAAGAACCGTCAATCTTTGTGCTTTGTTTTTTATCTTTACCAAAGGGATACAAAAATAACCAGTGAATTACAACTTGAATTTTCTAACTGCAAAATTCACTGATGATTTTCTAAAATGAAGACATCTGAACTTCTGTAATTGGCTGCAATCATCAATAAAGTATTCAACATAAGAAAAACAATCTATACCAGGTTCTTTTTACAAAGTGAAATAATTCCTTCCCCATTCCCCAAAGAAAGAAAAATTATTCAAGAATTAAAGCATTAGGAATATATTTTATCGTTATTATTATTTTACCTTTAAATGTTTAAAAATCCCCGCTGCAATTTTTAGGCTTCGATGGACTTCTTTTGCTTCATCTTCTGTTATGCTTAAAGATAGTGGTTACATTAGTTAGAGGATGAATCCTGTTTCTTGTACTAAAACCAACAACTAATGCATTATCATAAAACCAAATTAGTCATTTGTATTTCTCACCAGTAGTTTTCTCCCTTCAAAAAAAAAAAATCTGACTCTTAAAAAAGTAGCAAATGCACATGAAAATTATCCACAGAACACACTACAAATGAAAAAAAGGGAGACCCTGTCTATAGGTTGGGACAGAGGCTTCTTGCTGTTCCTTCCAGATAATCTTCTGTGCATTAAACAAGCACAAAATATTCTACACTTAATGCATGCACACACTTAACACATATATACACTCTTGTTTTAATCACCTAATTACTTTAGAGATAATTTTACATCAGCACATATAATTCAACTTTATTTTACTTATTTTTTTAATATTTTATTTTTGAGTAATCTCTACCCCCGACATGGGGCTCGAACTCACAACTTGAGATCAAGAGTCACATGCTCCACTGACTGAGCCAGCCGGGCGCCCCTCAACTTTATGTTTAAATGGCTGCGTATTATATGCATGGTCAGATGCACCACAGTTGGTAGCTGCCAGTTTCATATTGCTAACACCCATTTTTACTATTATAAAAATTGCATCTTGGGGCGCCTGGGTGGCTCAGTTGGTTAAGCGACTGCCTTCGGCTCAGGTCATGATCCCGGAGTCCCGGGATCGAGTCCCACGTCAGGCTCCCT